AATATATTCACAACAAAAAATAGATATATTATTTAAAAATATTCCCGATATAGGATTACTTTGAATGAGAATGTTCTCCTAATCAATATAAACAATATCGTTATCCCGCATCTATCGCACATCTGCTTCCTCATCAAGACCAACAATTCATTTACGGAAATGCAATCAAGTATGCAAAGACCCCGTAAAACCTGACAAACATGACAGAGCAGGAGAGCGGGTGAGCGGGAGAAGGAAGAAGAGGAGGAGGAGGAGGGAAGGGCTAACCAAATAACTGACGAAGGGCCAGCGGGCAAAATGAGCTGGTCTGAAAACCTGGTACGAGTATTACACATAAGCAGACAGGTCTGACGTGCATAATTTCCTGTTGTTCGGCTGCCTCTTAATATCATTGGAAAAGGATATGAAGTGCTGTCATATTACAAATAAAATGTCTGCTTCAAGTGCGCCAGCGTCAAGCTCGTCATGTCTCTCGCTGTTGCTCGTCGTGTGTAATGCGTTTAGCCCAAAATCTCAAACCACACACGTTAGCTGGCGAGACGGGGAAGGTCGGATAGAAACAACCCCACTTTATGGCGGACAGTTTCTGATTTCGTGCGTTATAGATTTCGAATTCGAAGACGCGCGTTGGCAAAAACCAACAACAATTGAATTTGAGTTGAGTGAAAGGTTTAATTTTCAACTGACATGCGATGTGTGGGTAGAACTCTGCAGGAGCTGGTGGTGGGAGGAGGCTATACTATGGCATATGACGCAGTTGCAACATGGATCGAGTGTCGCTTGTTGAGTGAGTAGTTAAGTAGGCTTGTCTAGGCAGTTTATGTTCGGACTAGGATTTCCATTTTCTATGCTCTTGACATCTATTGACATCGACACTGACACGTGTCGAGGTTTTCTCGAGGGTTGAAACAGAAGCTGCCTTCTCCAACCCACCGACTCCCACAAACATAGGAAGTATCTGCTTGCTGTCTTCGAAATTGGCCGATTGATACGAGTGTCTCTTATTAGCTATCTATGTATATTTTAAAGTGATTTGTGGTAAATCGATTGTAATATGATTAAAATGCCAGAGCCATTTGCACTATTAACCCAATTAATTGCCCACACACACAAATTTGACCATAAATTGGGTTAAGAAAAATATTCCGTAAATAAAACTCTGCCATGTGCCATGTTTGGGCTCTGGCGCAGAATCAGCGTCAATTAAAATGCGCCATAAAAATTTGTAAGCTGACCAACAAATTAATGCGACCAAATGGCGAAAAAGCTGCTCGAATAAAACAAGACAAACAAAGCAGAACTTTTTGCTCGCCTGAATGGCGACAAATATATACTCTACAAAACGTTTTTTGATTATAATGAAGAATTTTTAAGTGCGCCTTTATCAACTTTTAATTTTTACTGTTTTCTTTTACTTGATTCTAACTTAAGGAACTAATATCTCTTCAAGAAACGTTCAATTCATAAGAATTTAAGTGCATTGAAATTTGTACAGCTCAGCTTGAGTAAGTGTTGCATATTCACATTTCTAATTTACATTCTAATTTTTAATCGGCATAATCTAACTAAATAGCTTGAAATATACTTTAAATTAAAACATATTTAAAGTTATTTAATTATGATAATAGAATATATTATTTCATTATTTTTAAAATTGTTAAAATTAACAAGAAAAGCGCTATAACCCTTCCAGATATAGGATCTTACTTTTGTTTGTAAAAATAAAATGGCGGACAATAGAGCTGCTGGTTCGAGTGGTTATTTTCGCAACTTTCACTAACAAGCTGTGCGCCAGAAACAGCAGCAGCAGCGGCGATAGCAACAACAACAACAAAGCCGAACATTGTTCTATTTTTTGGTTTTTTTTTTTTTTTTTTTTTTTGGCTGGCAATTACAAGCATATTAGGTTAACACAAATGCACAACAAAATGTCCTTGGATTTGCGAAAAATACGAGAAAAAAAAAGGTAGAGAGAGAACAAAGAAAAAATAGCAACAGAGAAAAAAGAAAAACGAGTGCAAAACGCAATAACAATAAATTGCATGCGACTTGCGGCGCACTTTTAAAATGTGTCAGAAAAACATATAGTTATGGGTTTTTAGTTGCCCAGAGCTGGAGCAAAACGCACATACACGCACACACACACACATACACACTCTGTACCATCCATAAGCTGGTGTAGCCTGGCCTGTATTTGCCACAAGACGCGGCGCGATCCGATGCGAACAAAATAAATAAAATGGCTGGCGGCAAGGACAAATAAACGACTTTGGGATTTGCTTTAGTGTTGGACGTTGGACGCGGCGTCTTGCCAGCTTGGTTATAAATTAGAAAAAGTACCATGTGCTGCTGGCCACTGGGCTTAAAGCGAAGTTAATTAAACTCACCAGACAAAGCGATGGCCATTAAAAACACGCCATGGACATTAAGTGCATCAACGGAAAGTGCCCAACTGACCAGTTGTCAGTCGAACGTCCGTCGGCCGCTGTTCAATAAACTAAGAAAACAAATAATTAAACTCAAGTCTGATGAGCTGTTTGTCGAGGTCAAAGGGTGCCGTCGTAAGTGGGTTAAGAAGTGGGTCCACATTCAACCACCAATAAAGTCGAAAGCCGCCCCAAATCAATATTGGATTATCGAATGAAATCGATTGTGGAGCTCGGTAGAGTGAAATGCGTCGATATATTGTGATTAATATGGAATTTACCATATAATTACTAAAACTTATATAAGAATTTTATGCTTCTATTAAAGTTAAAATAAGTTTTATTCAAATATTGCACATACATAATATTTGCATGTAATATTAATCAATTTTGTATTTCTAATATTTCACTTCAACGAAAGCCCTCACCCTCGAACCTACATTTTCTAGGAAATAATGTAATATTTGAAAATTAATTGGAATTTTGGGCCCAAGCCGTTTCCATTAAAAACTGGTTAGCAACTCATAATCTCATTTGCCTAAAGTAAATATTATGTTACTTAAGCATTAGCTCTCATTGAAAGCTTTTCTGAAGGCAAACCAGCTCATGGCAGTTCTTTGAATCGTCTATTTTCTATGTTAGTTGACTTAAATTTAACCAACTCATTCAAATGATTCATTGACACAGTTCCACCAAGCGCAGCTATCCCTTGCTCCATTTTTGTATATTT